ATTATGTCACATCATACAAATGTAGATACAAAATTACTACAGTACAATATATATTCTCTGCATGATCCAAAATATTTGGTGGCCCCAAAAACTCTAAAATTCAGCAGCTTATCAAAAATTAAAACAATATTCTATTTAAAATGAAGTTCTGTTAGCAAATAGGCAGACTTCAAGAAATATCACTCAATTTAGTACAGTTTGAGAGGTTGCAGGAGGATATGTTTGAAGAATACATTCCAACATTGTGTCAGATACAGAAACATCAGTTTTAATCTTTCAAGCAAAACTCATACAACCTAAGTTGTCAGCAGAAAGATCAGTCATCTTTAATTTTAAATAATTTTCTATACTGCATCCAATTAAAAATTTTAGAACTGTTTAGTATTAGTAAATCAGACATATATAGCTACCTATCTCTTCCCATGAAAAAGGAAAGCATTACACTTGAGGTTTCAACAGCCAAAGAAACCTGCTTATACCCATCTTTTTTTTCTAATCACTGCACTGTCCCCACAAAAATCACCCAGGCCTTCTCAGTTTTGTTGTTCATGCAAAGTAAGGAATTAATTACCTAAGGTGAAAGTAGCACAATAGAACCAGCTTATAGAAAAGTTACATTATACTATAAGCACTGAATTCTTTGAGATGTGGACTTGACTTACTTAAAAAGTATACTGTAACACCAGACAGGGATCCACCTTTTATAGAGATATTTTAACTTCCCTCACAAATATATTCAAGTAGGTATCCTTATTATTTTAGGAGAATATACTCTACAAGGCAAGCAACAAGAGTATTCACCTCAGAGTTTTCCATTTAAACTAACTACCTAAAACTGGCTTGCTCCAACCATTATGTGCAAAGAGCAAGCATCAGCAGCAGACAAAAAAAAGTAGACTGATGGATGTGAGTCATTCTGGTGAACACATAGGTGAGTGAAATACACAGCTACTGATCAAGCTTTATTTACTCAAGATGAGGTACTGGAAATATGTAATATATAACAAATATGTATACAGTTGTTTGAATATGGATGCATTCTCCTCAAGGGAAGAATGTTTTTGCACCTTTATCTGTTAATACATTCTATATGAATAAAATAGGTGAAGCAAAAGTTATTATTGTTCAACAGTAGAAAGTTAATTTAGAATAAGTTTAAGACAGAGGAGCTGCCTAATATGAAATACATAAACTGATATAATTAAGACATATTTGTGTTCTGAACAAAAAGGGTACAAGAGTATTCACCTGAGATAAAGCTAGTATTTGAATATTTCTAAGTAGCAATGAGTTTCACTTGAGGAAAACTACTTGAAGCTTTAAAATATACATTTTACTATTATACAATATATGCAGTATAAGTAATTAAAATTGATGCTTACATAAAAGTCCTAAAAAAACCTCCACCAAATCCACAGTGTATCAATAATTTTAGTTACAAAACTTATGCTGCTTCATAACTTTTAAAAATTATGAATTTTAAACCCATTCTTCCAAAACTGATCTTTTGAGTACAATCTTTAAGAAGCAATAAACTAAAGCGTAAGAATTAGCTTATTAAAATTTAAATATATACATATTCACCAATTTAGAAAATAATGAAGCTTTGGAAAAAAATTTACAAAATTGATTATATTTGCTCGCACTGCTTAGAATAATGAACTATTCTAATCAGTTTTTCCTAAATGAAAAGAGTTGCTTCCTGAATGTATAAAGAAAAAAAATTAGTATTGAACTTCTAATTTAATAGCAATTTAGAACTGCCAAAAAGATGCATTTTATAAGGATTTTAAATACCCTTTCTGTTATCAACTTAGGTTGATCAGCATCTTCACTCTGAATCCTTCGAAAAGGGAAACTTAAAACAGGAAAAAGGCATATATAAAAACAGTAAACACTGACCTCCTGAGGCTCCTACAACAAAAGTATTCAAGTAGAAAATCTATACCGTTACTTAGCAGCGGCTATTTTTGTAGTTTAGCACACTAACAGCACTTTATTCAGTGTGTAAGGAGCAAATGAAGCTGTGCTTTTAGCATGCCAAGAGGCAGAAACACTGGAATGTAACAAACTCACAATTCTACCAGTATAAACGTTCAGTCAACATTCAAGAACTGTCAAGACTATACCACAAGAATTAAAATGCTTTTTATATATCCCATGATGCAATAATTGAATTATAACTGTTAATGCTGATTCAGAACTTTTCTTGCCTCAGATTAAACCCTAAATGGCTTCTGCAAATCTCTGCACTATATTATGCATTAGGAATATGGTTTTTTTGCTTTAAAATATACCACAAGAGAACTTACTGATACAACAGACAATTTTGTCAGTACTGTTTATTTCTGCTGTATTTTACTTGCTGTTATACCAGATCAGTTCACATCTGTACAAATACCTATTAAAATACTATGCGTAAAAGTGGCATCCTAAGCTAATCTGAGGTGGTTTTATTTGGTTAAAGGGCCTTTCTGAAATTTAAAAAGTTTAGTTAAACCCAGATTCTAGCTGTAATGCTACAGTATTATTTGGGTAGGTTTTCTATTCTACAATTTCTTTTAATGTCATTTCTCTGAAACTGTTCCCTAATGTTTAAACACACTCAAAATTATAGCCAATTTGTGTCTAAAATAATATCCTACTCATTTTTTTTCTTCTTCCAGAATTTGGTTTCAAAGTGGTTTTAGTGACTAAAACCATTACTAATTTTCTTCAGTGCTATTAGTTAAGAAAAAATTTTGTATTTGCTACCAAAGAAATGTAATTTGAAAGGAAGTTATCACATGCAATTTTGACCAAATTGAATAAATACTATATTATTAGCATTACTGAATGTACTTTATACAGTACATGTTCAAACTATTCTTCAGGCATAATCCATTCATATTTGCAAAGCCACAAAAACCAAAAAAGGATGGGATGAAGAATGGGACACATTTAAAATGTGCATGCATAAAAAAAACCCCAAAACTCTTTAAACAGCATTTATAAGTCCACACTCATACAGCTCAAACTTCAATGCAATGGCTAAATCATTTAACACTCAAAGAACAGAATCATGCAAAGAGCAGCAAGTTCTTAAAAGACAAAAACCACACAAAAACTGCACAGACAAAACCCCAAAACCTCCCCAAACAAACCACATAACACCAAAAAACCCATCCCAAACTGTTTTCCAATATCCAATTTTGCAATGTAAAGGTGTGAAAAGAAATCTATAAAAAGGCTGTTATGGCTTAGTTTTGTTTTGCAGGTTAATTATGCAGCACTTGAAAAATGGAAAGGTGCGGTTTCACCTCTGACCAGCACAGTTAAGTCTCTCCATTTTCCTTTATCATCATGGGATATTCTTTAAGCAATCTAAATTAATAAAGACTTGCCATTTTCAGATGAACACAAGATCAAGTGTACCAGTTAGGATTTCACATTTACAGTACATAAGAAAATACACATGGAAAGAAAAGTAAAGGATTAACTTAACAAAGATTTATTCACAGGAATACATGTAAGTAGAGAAAAAAAAAAAGAAAAAAAAACATCAACAGAAAAGCTAAAGAAATGAAATGAAGAGGATCCAAACCAACTTTCACTCTTTAGCTTTAAACTTGCACCCTTGTGCATTTAATTACATCACAAAGGGCCACCAACATGTGCCAATACATTGTAGATGCCCTGCATTACATCCACTAACTTAAACATTTCTAAGATCATGCTGTGAACAAAAATAAAGCATAAAAGGTAATACATTAAGTGGGAATAAAAGCAAATATAGTAATCGTCAACAACTTCTACAATTGTCTTTACGTACCAACTAACATTTATGCAGCCTTTAACGGGTCTTACCATGTAACTCATTTTTAGAGATTCTGCTAAAAATCACTAGCATATAACCATGCAGAAAGCACATCACACTGACAGCACAGAGGCTAATATTTTGCACAGTTATATCAGCTTTTCACATTGTGCAGGTTACACACAATATGATATGAATATTAATCTTAAGAGATCCTAAAAAGGTATTTCAAGGCCTAATTTTGAACTACAGAACTTTATAACTATATTCTTAAAAAAAAAGATCCACAAAATCTCAGCAAAAGAATTTTAAATGCAGGGCTATATTGAATTGGCAAACTGCAACATAAGACTGGGGCAACATAGGTAAATGAATACCAATTTCACTCTATGTGATGCAAGCATGCTACTTTCCCACTAATTTAAATTACTTCTGATCACTATGAGCCAGAATGCATGCCCGGACCTTAAACTGCATGTTAAGAATAATGCCTTACTCTAGAAATTAAATCTAATTAAGTACAATAACCAAATGATGATACTTTAATTTTTTTTAAATGCAAAAATTAAGATGTCAGTCTTTCCTTTGATGTGTCCCTCCCTTACCACAAAAATGAAAGGAGTGACTCATTTGGCAGCTTGCAGGTTACTTCATTTCATCCAGGTTAACCTCTTTTAATTTACGACAGGGTTTCTATACCGTATACTTCAAGTGCCTGCTCCTAATACTGATACAAGCTGCATTTTAATTTATTTAGTTATTCATTAACATGCAAATTATCTAGGAATCCCATTAAGCAGGATGAAACAATGTAGAAAACCCTTACTTTTAAAAGAAAAACATAAAAGAAAAAGAAAGCCTTTTACTGCTTGTGACCTCCATTTGTAGGTTTCCTTTATTGTGCGTAAAATAGTTTTCCTCTTTATGTATCCCTATGGTTCATTTATATGGTTCTTATTTTGGTACAATTCCCCACAATAGTCCAGAATGTGCTGTTTTGTTAATAACTTTTTTTCTTCTTCACATCCAGTGCAGAGTTGTAATAGGAGACTATTTCCACCCACAAAGGCTCCAGATGTTAAAACATTTCCCAACATCGACTTAATACAGTGACAGCAACACCTCCCTCCCACCCCTCCCAGTAGGGTTGGGACTGTACTGTATTCCCTACTGGTTCACCCTTCCCCCCAGTAAAGGGTAATGATTTCCCTGGGTGCAGAAGCTCCCTCATAGTCTCCCAGACTGAAGGACCTGTAAAAAAAAAGACAGAGGTATAGTTAAATCTTACCTTGAACCTTAATTGACAGATCAGTGCATAAACAAAGAGGTTTTTGCCTTTTTTAAGTGGTAGGTGCCAATCTTTAACATAAAACCAAATTTCTGCCGAGATTTTCCCTTTTAAGTTTGTTTAAGAAAAGAGCCCATTTATACCAGATAAATTAATGAAACAACACCATATACTTTAAAGCTACACTGACAATTCCACTACTGTGACTAAGCTTAGATTTAAGATAAAAGCAGTCCTATATATTCTAAAAAGCTTTTACCTTTTTAGTACAAGATTATGAGGTAGTTTGAGAAAGAATATTAAACATACCTTCTACTAACATAACATTTTCACTTTTAGGTGGATTAAACAAGATAGTTTGTACTGAGGATATACTATGGCTGAGACTAATTGACAATTTAACCTCTTTGGATTCCTCTCCATTAGGATGATTACCCCACTAATTTCAGAACTAAAATTCCATAATTTATAAATATATAATGTTTGTAATTGGTTTATTTTTAATCCATTGTTCAGATCAAAAATGTAAATCAAACAATTTCTTATGTCACTGTCTGACAAATCCTAGGCTGACTTTTTAAACAGATTTGCATGATTCACTCACATAATTTCAGCACAAAAATCCTAGAGCAAGTATCAAATTTATATAAAGACTGAATGAATAAACTTAATTTGCTCCCTTTTTCTGGGTAGTATAATAATCTCTTCACAGTATCACACTACATGTGAAAACTTTGATTTATACATTGTGCACAAACAGCATACAAAGCAAGGTGGTATAAGAATACAAGTATTCTAGAATGCACAATCACAGTTCTTTTCTGAAGTTGAATCATTCTCCAGACAGAACTATAACAATTGTGAATTGGTGCATAAAGTGGAACATGGTAATATTAAACACATCAGCACCCACAAAACATCAAGCTCTATAGCCAGGAGAGTTACAGATTATATACAACACCAGGCCTACTGACACCTGACAGGATGCATTTTTCTCAGAAGGAAAAGGGGTTTTGCACAGGAGCTTGTTGGGCTCCTTGATAGAGCTTTAAACTAGATTGGAACGGGGAAAGGGACAAAACCAGGCTTGCCAGTGATAAGCAATGGGATGGCATGCCAAAATTTGAGGGACTAAATGCTGGTGACATCCTTCAATCTGCTCCACAAGGTGTTGGCTACAATGAACCACACTTGAAATGTTTCTATAGCAACATGTGCAACTTGAGGAACAAGCAAGAGGAGCTCAAAGCCTTGGTCCAGTCCCTAAGATATGGCATCATGTCCTAGTTTTGGCCAGGACAGGGTTAATTTTTTACAGTAGCTGGGAGGGGCACATGGCCAGACCCTAATGCTATTTGATACCATCTCAAGTCACTTGCAAGGGGCAGGAGTAAGGGACTCACTCTCTCTCCTTTCAAGTCAGGGAGAAAGTATGGTGGGTGAAAAGGTCCAGTACTGGTTTACTTTTCATGTAAATTGTTTCTTTGTCTTATACCTTTTGTTATTAATATTGTTGCTGTTACTGTTCATTTTCGTATCTCGTTGCTTTTTCCAGTAAATTGTGCTTATCTCAACCTGTGGTTGTGTGGTTTAGGAGAGTCTCCATGGGGGCACTGAATTGGGGAGCACTATTCCTAAACCATGACACATTGGCATAAGCAAAACCTGGTGGGATGAGTCCTGTGACTGGAGTGCCATGTTGGATGGTTACAGGCTCTTTAGGAGAGATAGGCAGGGAAGGCCAGGTGGTGTGTGGCATTGTATGTAATAGAAGGGCTGGAGTGTATGGAGCTTGCAGCTTGCAATGGCACAGTTGAGAACCTCTGGGTAGGGATTAAGGGACAAATAATGCAGATGTCATAGTGGGAGTCCAGTATAGACCACCCAGCCAGGATGATGACACCAATCATAGAATGTTAAGGGGTTGGAATGGACCTTAAAGATCATCTAGTCCCAACTCCCCCTGCCATGGGCAGAGACACCTCCCACTAGACCACATTGCTCAAGGCCCTATACAACCTGGCCTTGAACACTGCCAGGGTTGTGGCATCCACAACCTCCCTGGGCAAGCTGTTCCAGTATCCCACCACCCTCGCAGTAAAGAATTTCTTCCTAATATCTGACCTAAATTCCCCCTCTTTCAGTTTGTACCATTTACTACTTGTCCTAGCACTACAGTTCCCGACGAAGAGTCCATCTCTGGCTTCCCGGTAGGCCTCCTTCAGATACAGGAAGGTTGCTATGAGGTCTCCAAACAACCTTCTCTTCTCCAGGTTGAACAGCCCCAATTTTCCCAGCCTGTCTTTGTAAGGGACGTGCTCCAGTCCTCTTATCAGCTTTGTGGCCCTCCTCTGGACTTGCTCCAATAGTTCCATGTCCTTCTTGTGTTTGGGGCACCAGAACTGCACCCAGTACTCCAGGTGGGGTCTCATTAGAGCAGAGTAGAGGGGCAGAATCACATCCTTCGACCTGCTGGCCACGCTTCTTTTGCTGAAGCCCAGGATTCAGTTGGCTTTCTGGGCTGTGAGCTGCTGGCTCATGTTGGGTTTTTCATCAACCACCACCTCCAAGTCTTTCTCCGCAGGGCTGCTCTCAATCACTTCTCCGCCCAACTTGTAGGTGTGTCTGGGATTGCCCTGACCCAGGTGTAGGACCTTACACTGTCTTGAACTTCATGAGGTTTGCATTGGCCCACCTGTTAAGAGTCCGGATTTGTATCTCACTGAGTTGTTTGATTGATGGGTAGAATCAACCATCTTGTCTGTCTGTGTGTGTTGGGGGAGGGGCCATGGTTGGGCCTGCAGCCTCATGGCAGTAAGGCACATGGTAAGGCTTGCAGCCAATATGGCTGAATCTATGGAGTGCACATGGCATGTGAGCCACGTGGCTGGGCTGTCAATCAAGGAAGGCCTGCCAGGTAGCCCACCCACACCACAACCCCTGGAGCCTCTGATTGGCTACAGCACCCCTCACTTAGGCTAGGGGGACACTGAATGGTCAGTGAACTGCCTGGAAGGAGTGGCCATGGTAGCCAAACTCTAGAAACAGAGATGCACAAGGTCTCTATCTTGCCTGGCCTGGTCTCCTGGAACCTGCCAACATGTGACCTCTTGGTGATAACTACATTTTTCTTTCCTCTCTTTCTCTCTTTATTCTTTCTTCTCTTAATCTCTCTTTTCTTCCTTTACTCTTTTTTTCCTCTTGTGGGTAACTTAAAACCTTTTGAGTGGTATTTCACTTAAGTTGTGGGTTGGTGTTTGCTGGGTGCAAAGAAGGTTCCCTCCTCCACAGAAATGCCTGCTGGCTTGTAAAACCCTTGTGGGGGTATAGAGGCATGTGGACAATGAGCCGTTGACCACAACTTTTTGTGTGCAGCCATCCAACCAGTTCTTTATCCAGAATGGTCCATCCATCAAATCTATGTCTCTCCAATTTGGAGACAAGGATGTCATGCAGGACAGTGTCAAACGCTTTGCATAAGTCCAGGCAGACGGTGTCAGTTGCTTTGCCCCCATCCACCAATGCAGTAGCATTACTTTGGGAGTTAATGAAAAACACATGAAGGACAACATAGTCAACGGTCACAGCCAGCATGGCTTCAAGAGCAGAAAGTCCTGCTTGTCAAACTTAATCTCCTTTTATTACAAGGTAATCCACCTAGTTAACCAAGGGAAGACAGTTTGGGATTTCAGTAAGGCTTTCAATACTGTCTCTCACAGGATCCTTCTGGACAAAATGTCCAGCACACAGCTAGATAAACAGGTCGTGTGATGGGTGAGCGACTGGCTCATGGGTTGGGCACAAAGAGTAATAGTGAATGGGCTAACATCAGGCTGGCAAGCGGTCACTAGCGGGGTTCCACAGGGTTCCCTCTTAGGCCCATTTCTCTTCAACATCTTCATAAATAATTTGGACGCAGGACTCAAAGGGATGCTAAGCAACTTTGCAGACGTTACAAAACTGGGAGGAGCTGTTGACTCCCTCGATGGCAGGGAGGTCCTGCAGAGAGACCTTGACAAATGAGAGATCTGGGCAATCACCAACCTTATGGAGTTTAACAAAGACAAGTGCCAGACTCTGCACCTGGGACAGGGCAACCCTGGATGTACGTACAGACTGGGGAATGAGAGGCTGAAGAGCAATGCTGCGGAAAGGGATCTGAGGGTCCCCATCAATGGCAAGTTAAATATGAGTCAGCAGTGTGCCCTGGCAGCCAGGAGGGCCAACTGTGTCCTGGGCAAAGCATCACCAGCCCGTCAAAGGAAGTGATTGTCCTGCTCTATTCTGCACTGGTGCGGCCTCATTGCGAGTACTGTGTGCAGTTTTGGGTGCCACAATATAAGAAAGATATTAAGCTATTAGAGAGAGTCCAAAGGAGGGCAACGAAGATGGTGAAGGACCTAGAGGGGAAGCTGTATGAGAGCAGCTCATTCTGCCTCCTCATGAGGGGAAGCGAAGGGGCAGGCACCAATCTCTTCTCTCTGGTGACCAGTGATAGGATCCAAGGGAATGGCAGGAAGCTGTCAGGGGAGGTTTAAGTTGGATATTAGGAAAAAGATTCTTCCCCCAGAGGGTGGTCGGGCACTGGAAAAGGCTCCTCAGAGAAGTGGTCACAGCACCAAGCCTGCCAGAGTTCCAGAAGTGTTTGGACAATGCTCTCAGGCACATGGTGAGATTCCTGGGGTGGTCCTGTGCAGGGCCAGGAGTTGGACTCAATGATCCTTGTGGGTCCCTTCCAACTCAGCATATTCTATGATTCTATGATTGCATAACATTTTTTATTCAATGCAAAGGTCATACAGTATGTGGTTATGAATGTATTTAACTTCTCATGGCTAAAGTGTCTTAAATTTGCTTTCCTATCCTAGGCAAATATGCCTGGCTTAGACCACATCCGTCATCTACTAATACATAAGGAAGCCTGTAACTTTAGTATGATGGCTTGAGGATTATAATAATCATTTTGCTTATTAAACCTAAACAAGCACTTTGTTACACCTACATTTCCAACCTTATCTTGATACATTACTGTGTGTAGAGAAAGATAGTGGTTCCAACATATCTGAAAAATTTTAGCCTAGTGAATTAATTATGTTTCGTATAATGTAAACAGTGAGGAAGACTTGTTATACAGCTCTGTTTAGCAAGGAAGATTAGTGTGCTTACCTCTAATTATGGGACTGCAGCTAAAGTGCATAAGGTTAAACTCCATAGTAAGCTGCAAGGCGCTCCTTTAAGGGAAGAGGAAACTGGTCAGAGAAACGCCTCCAATTATCATCCCCAACTTGATTTTTAAATCCATGAAGAATCTACAAATGAGAAGGGAGAGAGAAATCAAGATAATCATTAAACAGCAGATACGTGATCATTATTTACTAGCAGCATATGCAGTAAGCCACAAACTGCTGGATTGTGCATCTGTCCATTTGAATTCCTCAGTTTGATATTTAAATGTTACTAAGAAAGAAAGGAAGTCCAGGGGAACTTCCTAGCCTGGTTCAGCCTTTGAACTAATACCCATTGCTGGTCCTCCATGTGAGTGGTGATGAAGTCACAACGCAGAGTCCAAGGGTGATCAAAAGAGACTTTAAGGCTTTGGGACAGTTGGTGAGGGAAGCAGGAGCACAAGTTATTTTTTCCTCTGTTCTTCCAGTTGAAGGCAGTGACATTGGAAGAAACAGATGGACCCAGTCTGTACATGGCTACATGGCTGCTGTCACCACCAAAATTTTGGTTTCTTTGATAATGGGATGGCCTACATGGCACCAGGCTTGATGGATTCAGACAGGATTCCCCTCTGTCTTTGGTCAAGGGCTAGCAGGGCTTATTGATAGGGCTTTAAACTAGATATGACAGGGGAGGGGGATATCATCAGGTTTAAGGGTGATAAGGTAAGGGATGATATGCCATCCCACTCATACCAGTCAGATGCTAGAGCAAGCAAGAGATGCCCAGAGCCTAGAGGGGGATCAAAGGTCAGCAGGACAGAACCTGAAGGGCAGCACCAAGGAATTCCAGCCACTCCAGACAGAAAGTCGGCTTCATTGGGGGCCCAACTTAAATGCCTCTATGCGAATGTACGCAGCATGGGGAAAAAACAGGAGGAACTAGAGACATGCGCACACCTGAAGGGCTATGATCTTATTGGCATCACAGAGATGTGGTGGGATGATTCCTTTGACTGGAGTGCTGGAATGGAAGGATACAGGCTCTTTAGGAAGGACAGGCAGGGTAGATGAGGAGGGGGTGTTGCCCTCTATGTCAATGACCAGCTGGAGTGCATGGAGCTCCACCTGAGATGCATGGAGCTCTGCCTGGGGATGGATGAGGAGGTAACTGAGAGCTTGTGGGTCAGGATTAAAGGCAGGGCAGGGACAGGTGACATTACAGTATGAGTCTGCTACAGGTCACTCAACCAGGAAGACCAAGTGGATGAGGCCCTCCATAGACAGATAGAAGCAGCCTCATGTTCACAAGCTCTGATCCTCATGGGTGACTTCAACCACCCCAACATCTGTTGGAGGGACAACACAGCAGGGCACAGGCAATCCAGGAGATTCCTGGAATGTGTTGATGACAACTTCTTTCTCCAAGTGATAGAGGAGCCCATGAGGAGAGGTGCTATGCTGGACCTTGTTCTTGCCAACAAGGAGGGACTGGTGGGAAACATGAAGCTCTAGAGCAGCCTGGGCTACAGTGACCATGAAACTCTGAAGTTCAAGATCCTTGGGACAGCAAGGAGGGTGCAAAACAAGCTCACTACCCTGGACTTCAGGAGAGCTGACTTTGGCCTCTTCAAGGATCTGCTTGGTAGAGTGCCGTGGGATAGAACCCTGGATGGAAAAGGGGCCCAAGAGAGCTGGATGATATTCAAGGATGGTCTCCAGGCTCAAGAGCAATTCATTGCTACAAAGAGGAAATCAGGAAAGAACACTTGTGTGGATGAAAGAGGAGCTCCTGGACAAACTTAAACACAAACAGGTAGCTTACAGAGAGTGGAAGCAGGGAAAGGTAGCCTGGGAGGAATACAGAGATTCTCTGAGACGAAAGGGATCAGATTAGGATAGCTAAAGCCCTGATAGAATTAAACCTGGACAAAGACATCAAGGGTAACAAAGCAAGCTTCTTTAGGTACATCAGAGATAAAAGATCATGGCTAGGCTTCGCGAATGAAGATTTGGGAAGGGCTCTACCCACGTTTGTTACAAGCGCCCTGGTGGCTAAAAGGGCCAATACGAGACAGGCATGTCCGGTTGCAAAAAGCACAGCAGAAGGACTCCTTGGGTGGTATATTCTGCAAGACACGATTCTTTCTGCGTTGTCTATTCTCCTCAAGAGTGATCCTGCGTGCTTTCTCAAAAGAAGCAGCAGCGTTAAAGATAGTGTGTCTCCAGACCTCCCGATTGGAGGCCAGAATAGACCAGTTATGTTGATCAATATGGCCAAGGCTGAGATGTTGTTTCAGGGAGTCCTTTTTTCTTCTCTTCGGGGCTCCTCTCTTGCGGCAGCCAGTGGCAAGTTCACCATAAAGCAAGATCTTAGGGAGGCAGTAGTCCTTTATCCTGGAGATGTGTCCTGCCAAACGCAGCTGTGTTCTCAGCAACATGACCTCAATACTTGTGATTGCTGCTTGTTCTAGAACAGACGTATTAGTCACATAATCAGACCAGTGTATGTTTAGGATTGTACGGAGGCAGCGTTGATGGAAGCGTTCTAAGAGTTGCAGGTGGTGGCGGTAGATGACCCATGATTCAGATCCATATAAAAGAGTGGACAGCACAATGGCTCTGTAAACACTGATCTTTGTACTTTTCTTCAGGTGTTTATTTCCCCAAACTCTTTTATGGAGTTTTCCGAAAACACTATATGCCTTTGCTAACCTGTTGTCTATCTCTCCGTCAATCTTACCGTCCGAGGAGATGAGGCTACCTAGGTAATTAAACTGCTGAACTGATTTGAGCTCTGATTCGCCAATGGTGATATGGGGATGATGGAAGACTTCCTGAGGTGCAGGTTGATAGAGTTTCTGTCTTCTTTAAGCTGACTTCCAGCCCAAAAAGCTCAGCAGCGTCTGCAAAGCAGGATGTTAAACGCTGCAGAGCTGCTTCTGTGTGGGCGACAAGGGCGGCGTCATCAGCATAAAGCAGCTCACGGACAAGATGGTTTAAGGTCTTAATATGGGCCTTCAGTAGTCTTAGGTTGAATAGGCTTCCATCAGTACGATATCGAATGTAGATACCATCCTGATCCTCGAGGTCTGCCGTGGCCCTTTAGAGCATCATACTGAAAAAGACTGTGAATAGTGCTGGTGCAAGAACACAGCCTTGTTTAATACCACTGGTTATTAGAAAGGGCTCAGAAAGTGTGTCACCATATCTGACTTGGCCGTGCTGATCCTCATGAAGTAAAATGATCATTTTAAGGAACTTGGGGAGAACATCCTTAACGTTCCAAAATCTCCCTAAGACCTTTTCTGCTCACAGTATCGAAAGCCTTGGTGAGATCAACAAAGGTTACATAGAGACCTTTGTTCTGTTCCCTACACTTCTCTTGCAGTTGTCTGAGAACAAATACCATGTCTGTGGTATTCCTGTTGGCTCTGAAACCACATTGGCTTTCAGGTAGAATTCTTTCTGCTATAGCAGGTATTAGTCTGTTCAAGAGTATTCTTGCCAGGATTTTGCCAGCAGTGGAGAGCAGAGTAATACCACGGTAATTTGAACAGTCTGATTTAATACCTTTCTTCTTATACAAAGTGATGATGACTGCATCATGGAGGTCTGATGGTAGTTCGCCTAGTTCCCAACAGCGCACCACAAACTCATGAAATTTAGCATGGAGTGCAAGGCCCCCATGTTTCCAGACTTCAGGCGGAATTCCATCAACCCCAGCTGCCTTGCCAATTTTCACCTGCTGTATGGCCTTAAGAGTTTCTCCTAAAGTGGGGGCAATATCCAATTCATTCTTCACCAGTTGTTGTGTGATGGACTGAATTGCTGTGTCTTGGACTACACGACTAGTACTGAAAAGAGTCTGAAAGTGTTCAGACCATCAATTCAGAATGGAGGTTTTATCTGTCAGAAGCGTTTGACCATCTGCACTGAGTAGAGGGCTTTGGACCTGGTATGTAGGCCCGTATGCTGTTTTCAGGGCCTTACAGAATCCTCTGTGATCACCCGTATCTGCGCATAATTGTGTTTTTTCAGCTAGATTGATCCACCACTTGTTCTGGATGTCACAGAGTTTCTGTTGGAGCTTACTGCATGCAAGACGAAAGGCTGCTTTTCTTGTGTGACAGGATGGCAGTGCAAGGTGTGCTTGGTGGACAGTTCTCTTCTTCCTCAACAATTCCTGGATCTCTTGATTGTTTTCATCAAACCAGTCCTTGTTCTTGAAGGAGAACCCTGAGGATTCTTCAGAGGACTGCAGGATGCTGTTTTTAATATGGTGACAAAAGAAAAACTGTGGAAAACGTGGGTCCTCTCAGAAAGGATACAGGAGACCTGGTTATCCAGGACATGGAGAAGGTTGAGGTACTCAATGACTTTTTTGCCTCAGTCTTCACCAACAAGCATTCCAGCCACGTTGCCCAAGTTGCAAAAGGTGAAAGCAGGGATTGAGACTGAGTTCAAGACCATTTAAGGGAACCTGAAGTCGATTGGACCTGACAAGATACATCCATGGGTCCTGAGGGAATTGGCGGAGGAAGTGGCTAAGCCATTGTCCATCCTATTTGAGAAGTCATGGCAGTCCAGTGAGGTTTCCAATGTCTGGAAAAAGGGAAACATAAACCCCATTTTTTAAAAGGGGACTAAGGAAGACCCACGGAACTACAGGCCAGTCAGTCTCACCTCAGTGCCAGGCAGGATCATGGAGCAGATCCTTCTGGAAAGTATGTTAAGTCACATGGAAAATAAGGAGGTGACTGGGGACATCCACCAAGGCTTCACTAAAGGCAAATCATGCCTCACAAATTTGGTGGCCTTATATGATGAGGTTACAGCAGTGGTGGATGAGATTAGATATTAGGAAGAAATTCTTTATTGTGAGGGTTGTGAGATACTGGAGCAGGTTGCCCAGAGAAGCTGTGGATGCCCCATCCCTGGAAGTGTTTAAGACCAAGTTGGACAGGGCTTCGAGCAACCTGGTCTAGTGGAAGGTGTCCCTGTCCATGGCAGTGGGGTTGGAACTACATGATCTTTAAGGTCCCTTCCAACCCAAAACCATTCTATGATTCTATAAGTGCAAGGTCCTGCACCTGGGTCAGGGCAATCCCAAGCACAAGTATAGGCTGGGCAGAGAATGGATCCGGACTAGCACTGGGGAGGACATGGGGGTGTTTGTGGATTAAAAGCTTGACATGACCCAGCAATGTGTGCTTGCAGCACAGAAAGCCAACCGCATTCTGGGCTGCATCCAAAGAGGCATGGCCAGCAGGTCAAGGGAGGGGATTCTCCCCCTCTACTCCACTCTACTGAGACCCAACCTGAGTACTGTTCAGCTCTGGGGCCCTGTAGTGGGTTTCTGTGGCTGGGTTTTGGTAGCGGGGGGGGCTACAGGGGTGGCTTCTGTTAGAAGCTGCTAGAAGCTTCCCCTGTCCCGTGAAGCCAATGCCAGCCGGCTCCAGGACAGACTTCCTGCTGATGGCCAAGGCCAAGCCAATCAGGAGTAATAGTAACGCCTCTGTGATAACATATTTAAGAAAAGAAGGCTGTTGCGCAGAAGAATTCCAGCCAGGGAAGAGCGGAGTGAGAACATGGGAACAACAAGGTAGACACCAAGGTCAGTGCAGAAGGAGGGGGAGGAGGTGCTCCAGGCGCCGGAGTGGTGCAGACCATGGTGAAGCAGGCTGTTCCCCTGCAGCCCATGGAGGACCATTGGGGTGCAGAGATCCACCTGCAACCCATGGAGGAGCCCATGCTGGAGCAGGTGGATGCTTGAAGGAGACTGTGACCCTGTGGGAGGACCAAGATGAAGCAGGTCCTGCCAGAGACCTGCAGCCCGTGGAGAGGGAAGCCCATGCTGGAGCAGGTTTTTCCCGGGTAGGACTTGTGTCCCCTGTGGGGGACTGACGTCGGTACAGCTCATCCGTGAAGGACTGCACCCCATGAAGGAGTGACCCACGGGACAGCAGTTTGGGAAGAACTGCTTCCTGAGGGATGGACTCACGCCAGAGATGTCCATCAAGGACTATCTCCCGTGGGAGGGACCCCACGGGAGCAGGGGAAGGACTCCTCTCTCTGAGCAGCAGCAGAAACAACAACTGACCATAACCCCCATTCCCCGTCCCCCTGCACAGCTGGGAGGGAGGAGGGAGAATATGGAAGGAAGGAGGGGTGGGGGGAAGTTGTTTTTAAGACTGTTTTATTTCTCACTCTTTGGCTCATATCCTGTTAGTAATAAATTTAAGAACTATCCCCACTTAGAGTCTTGTTTTGCCCATGAAGGTAATCAGTAACTGACCTCGCCCAGTTCTTATCTCTACTCATGAATCCTTAGGGGTTTTTTTTCCTCTCTTCTCTCTCCTCTGTCCAGTTGCAGAGGGAGAGTGAGAGAGCGGCTTTAGTGGGTACCTGGCATCCGGCCAGGGTCAACCCACTACAGGCCCACAACACAAAAAAGATGTTGACCTGTTGAAACAAGTCCAGAGGAGGCCACTAATCTGATCACTGGGCTGGAGCACCTCTGCTATGGAGACTTGTTGAGAGAGTTGGGGTTGTTCAGCCTGGAGAAATGAAGGCTCCACGGAGACCTTCTAGCACCTTCCAGTACCTAAAGGGGGCTTATAAGAGAACTGGAGAGGGACTTTTCACAAGGGCATTGAGTGATAGGACAAGGGGGAATGGTTTCAAACTGAAAGAGGGCAGGTTTAAATTAGATGCTGTGAGGGTGGTGAGACTGGAACAGGTTGCCCAGAGAGGTTGAGGACTCCCCATCCCTAGAGGTGTTCAAGGCCAGGTTGGATGGGGCATTTGAGCAACCTGGTCTAGTGGAAGGTGTGCCTGCCCATGGCAGGGGGGTTGGAACTACATGATCTTTAAGGTCCCTTCCATTCCAAACCATTCTGTGATTCTATGATTCTAATGTCTTTCTTAAAGGAAAAAAAAAAGAAAAACATTTCAGTTAAGGGTGACATATACAGTATAGCTACCCACACAGATTAGCATAAAAAAAATAAATATATCTTCTATATAAATATACACATGTGTGTATGTAGTTTTAATGACTATGGTGACAACCTAGAGTTAGGCTAAACATTATGTCAATTGACACAATTTATATTTTAAGATTACTGTGTTCACATTTATATTTTTAAACATGTAATATGTTCTGGGAGGAAAGCTGAGCCAGAACCACTGCCAGCATTTGACAGAATAAATGCCTATAAATTTCTTGCAAAAACGAAAGCATCCTGTGAGAGCTGTGTTTTTTCCATGGAACCTGTAGACAACTATTACTAAAAAGGAAGCTATTAAAATCTTTTGTGTTTTGAAAGAACAGAGATCCACAGCATAAGATGGGAAGACAGGAAAAAAATAATCAAATCTATAGGTTTCAGCCTGGACCCTCCAATGTAATAAATTAACTGAAAGCTACAAAAATTGAATGATATTGTCAAAAACATCTTAGTATTTTAGCTTGAAAACAGCAGGTTAAAAGGCAAACATACAAAAGAATAAAAGAAGTTTAAATGGCTTCTCCTAATAGAAAATAGTCTGGAGTCTCTAAAGTTTTGGTTTGTTTTTCTTTTTTAAACTCAAGGGTACTTAATTGTGGAACAGTCTGTCATGAAAACATCCTCACAAAAAAGGCAATGTCAAAGTTAAAGCTCATGGTACTGAGCTCAACACAATTTTCTAAGCAGAGCTGTTCTTAAACAGCATGAAGCAATAATAACATTACAGTGTCACAAGTTAATTTATTGCTTTTCTCCCTGAAAGGGACCTTCCACAGGCAGAGTCACCTCTTTCCTAACCAAAAGAATCTGATTAGCCAGATGCCAAAAAACTACCCAAAAAATCTAAGAATGTTCAGGTACAACAAAAGGAACACTTTAAAAAAATCTTACAGGACAGTTTTAGCAATTGAGCTTCAGCTACAGTCTTCAGATATCTTGCTTTTATAAATCATGATACAGTTCTTTGGGTATGTATTGGATCTCAACACTGGGAGCTCATGTACCTGTGCTCTTGGAAGGGGTATTTTCTCTCTTAGCTCTAGTGCTCCAAAACCAACAAAGAAACCAACCAACTCGAACACCCCAAAACCCAAACACTGGACAATCCACTAGCAAGAAAAAGACCTCGTGGGACTATAAATTTTTTTTCCCATTATTTCTAAAAGGCATAATTATTGTTGGAAAATATGTAACTGGACTACAGTAATCATGTATTCAACTAGCATAAAAACTCACTCCAATAAGGAAGTAATCTAAAAAATTTGTATGTCATCACTTGAAGAAAGCTTTGTCTCTGTCCTTGCATGGCAAAAAGCACAAAAAATACACTTAATAAAGCAAGGATGTCCTTATGCCAAGTAACCAAGAAACAGTGTCTAGTTAGAATGCATTAGATCCCATGTGGATATCCTGGAAAGAATCTGAAAAAGAGGAGCGTAGCTTATTGAAGCAAGTATTGAATGCTGAAGGACCAGGACAGTAACATGTACTGAAACTGCTTTGGACAACCACCACAGACAGCATCCTGGACTTTCTTTTAAGCTTGTATTTCTTGTTTTCTTCTGCCGATGCAGGAATACTCACAGTCATGCATTTCCTGACACTGATGTTCCTTCAAAGCCTCTCAGATAATTGTTCTCCTGACTAGGACAGTGAGATTTTTGTCTTTGCTCCTCAAGATGGGATTCAAATGTTCTAGTCCGTTCTGATGTGCACACCTGGCATTACTTGAAGAGGAAGTGCCAATATTGACCCATGACGCACGTATGTACTTAGAAATATGCTCCATTCTAGCTTTAAGAGCACCATCAACTTTTGACATACATCCTTCCTAAACCCAGAGATTTCACTTTACAACATATGAGGAGAGCCACACTACTGAACAGTAACAGCTGTAACTGAAATAAGTTTATTTTATTCTGTTTTTTAACTGAAGACACTAGTGCCACAAAACACTTTCTGTGTGTGTGTGGTTTTTTTAATTTTACACAAGACAAACAGTCTTTTTGCTTAAATTATATCGACACTTTGTCTAGGGATGCGTTCTTGGCTATCACTGTTCATTAGTTTCTTGAAGACTTGTTTATCCAAGAGGAATTCTGAGGAGGGTTAAGCAGTCCCAAAAACTTATTTTCAGCCAAAGCAAGATAAACAGATAAGGATACTACTGGAATATTTTTCATTTTTCTAGATATTTCTAAAAAAAAATATGCTTCTTGGGGTGGGGGGCAGGTCTTAAACCACACAGATCTCATTTTCTAGAAAAGAAAAAAAAACAGAAAAAAAAGTCTTCTATCTTGTATAAAACCCCCTGTTCTTCCAAATGCAGTCAAAATGCAGGAGGCTGGACATTATGAAAAGCTCTTTGAGGATGATTATCCTTTCAAATAAGATCTCAAGTGAGCTTTTCAATGCTTTTAAAAAGAAAATTGGAATAACCTAAAAGCATGTAAGAAAATATAGGTAAAAACCTTTTATTATTTATATGATCTTTTGTTTGAAAGTTTATGACTTTGCAAGAAAGCATTCATGACCACAAATACAGTAAATGCTAATAATGGAAATAAAACCAAGAAAGAAACAAAGGATCTAAAGCAACCAAAGTTCAGATATACTGTCATACTAGAAACATTACCTTACAGAACATGTCTCGGAGATCATCTTTTGGGTTAATCCATGATGCAACAGCATCACAAAAAAAAATAAAGTCCTATAAGATTAAACAATCACATAGGTTAGAAACCTTAAATTTATAGGTCTGAAAACAATGCTCAATGTTCATTCTATGAACTATTCAGGGTATTTGATCCTAATTCACAACTGCTTCTGGTTTTAGGCCTTTATTTTCCAGTTAATTTGGACAATAATGGTAAGTTATTGTATGCTTAAGTGTATGGAAACAGAAATGGCTGAGCATAGGAATACCTTTGTTTAATCAGATTTTTTATTAAATTGAACCACAGTTAAAAAAAATCTCAAACAACAAAAAACTCCTCCCCTCCCATACCACATTTGTTTAACTAATTCTTTCAGTACACATTCTGAGTTTGAGATCCAATCACCTTAATAACAATCGACAAACTCATGACCATACTTGCAACTTACTCTCATGTACTTTCAGTTAGGAAAAAAAGCTGTTGTATTTCTTTAAGTAGAACCAGAAGTTGTTTCTGGGATACACGGAATGTTTATCATACAGGTTCAAAACTAAAGCCACCCCAAAATCGTTACGTTTAGTTCATCTGCTCTTATGCATTACGTCCTACTATACCATTAAAATATCAGTCTTAATGATGAAGTTGATAATGCACATGTTTTTGGATAGGAACTGAGGATCACAACTACATAGGAGGAGAGTTGGGATAATGAAAAGAGACCTTAATTACTCCCTCCCTTTAAGCTATGTGAAAGAACAGACAGCAGAAGGAAATGCTAAGTATAAAATAAGGGATAAGCGAAATGAACTGTAAAATTCAAAACAAGATAGAGGTTCAATTCTTGTGTTTCAGGGAGAAGGATTCCAGGCAGGGGAGAGGGAAATTCACTTTCATTTTCCTCTTCGAAAATATTACCTTTGTATAGTTTTACTTTGGAGCTGCAGAGACTAAAGAGTAAATCATATTCTATTCTTGAGATGTACCATTTATTTTAAAGAGATGCATCGTCCTTGTCATATTGACTATTTAAGCAATATATCCAAAGTTGAAAGAGAATCTTCCCTACTCAAGTTTTAAGAATGAAGAGGTGGTTATTGTTTTTGTTCTGTTTCTTTTTTAAAAGCCTAGATTGTATCTGAAAAATAGGGTTTAGCATATCAACTGTTGCCTTGTATCCTCAACATAAAAAAGACTGATAGAAGTATCAAAGTACAGTTAATCAAAGTTCATTATTTACATATTCCTTGTAAGTAAAAGACAAAAAATAAATTTAACAATACTGTCTTTTCCTTTCCATAAGTGATAATTACTGAAGCAGAAATTCTGAAGCATGATGATATGTATCATTTGAAATATAAACATTTCGGTCTCGATGTTAGAGCACATACTACAGGGAATCAATATCAAGCTACATTTTTTCATACTCCATATGCAGCTTTCACTAAATTTCACATGAGTAAAGAAAAAAGAAGTTAAGATCTATTTATGTATCTTACTTGGACTACTCCACTGGGGTTGACTGAGATCATGGTACATATCCCACGGAACGCTGAATCCTTTTCCTCGTTGTCTCTTATGTTTCGCAGAGAGGTGCACCTAGTAAGTTGGAGAGTAAAACTTAGCTAATTCTATTACTTTTTCATTCAATCAAGTCAGGACTAGATTACAGCATTTGATGGAATAAGTCACACTGATAAAATTATCTGAAACACTATTTTGAACACTTAGAAAGGTACTTGTTGCACACAGTCTTTACTAGTATATTCCCATTAGGTATCATCTACAGAATCTTGTTTTCCTATTGTACTATATACAGTTAGAAAGTGTGACGTGTATTCTATTAAATACAAAAGAAACATGTATATAAAATATTTATAGAAACTATCATTATTAGAAGTGAACATTATATCAGATACCACTTAAAGAACAGTTATTTAACCTTTACACCATCAAGTAAGCTATTTTATACAGAACAAGTCTAGAAATATATTCCTTACAGCAATTCAAGTCTCCGACTGAATTTTAAGTAATGCACAGTTTAAATTTTACAGTATTTGCATGCATTGTATTATTATTCTCATGGATTTTAAAATACTCTTTCATAGTCAAGCTTTAACACGCAAGCATGTGACAATCTTATCCCATGCATAAATTAGTCATTAGCCACAACATAAAGAATACATGACAGTGTTACTAAAAACTCACAAACCTGATAGGACAAGATTAGTCACATGGTTGGCAATGATTAAGGATAGAGATTTTGTAACCAACTGAAAATATATCTAAAAGTGAGATAGAAGAAAAAGAAAGAAAGGAAAGAAAGGGAAGGAAGGAAGGGAGGGAGGAAGGAAAGAAAGAGAATGAAAGAGAAAGAAAGAAAGAGAAAGAAAGAAAGAAACGAAAGAGAAGAAAAATGAATTAAAAAAAAATTGAATAATACACACCAGGGTCTTATAAACTGCTGTAGCATGGGGGCCACCTCTTGAGGACAAACGAAACCAAGACGACCAATTGTTATTGCTAAGGTAATGCAATCACGGTTATACACCACCAAACGCCAACCAAGACATGAGCAAATGAGGGGGGAGGAGAAAAAAATAAAGAAAAAAACAACAAATAACTCAGAAACAGAAGCAAACAGAATCTGTATATGATAGTAAACATAAGATTTCACCAGTGCTGTTAATTACCACCCCTTGAATAAGAGGCAGCAACATACATGGTATAGTCTCCAGGGTAAAAGAAAAATTAAAGAAGTAAATGAGAGAACACCAAAAAACACAATTTAAAATGCAAAGGCATTTTTGATGTAAGCAGTCATTCTGCCCTCTTCACTAAATTTACCTACTTCAAAGTTTTTAATAAAAAGTACTATTATGAATACTATTGACAGAAAGGAATTTACCATTTTCAGTTTTAGTATCAAGTAGTGCTAAATACTTTATTTTTTCAATATTCAGAATTCAAGATTTTAATAGGTCTACTATCTATCATCAGTAAAAATATATTTATAAACACTTTTACATTGAATACATTGTGGTCTATCTAATAAACACTAAATAGATTAAACACTCTCAAAGAGCCCCAAATATTTGCTTTCTTCATAATCTTGTAGAGAAATTAAAGGGATTGCTAGCTCAAAGCAACTGACTGGAGAAAATTAATTTTTTAATCCAAATATTTCTCCTGTTCAGAAAAACTTCCTTATAAAACTTGTATAAGAATCTGACTTCTGATACAAAAGCATAAGGACACATGAAAAGCAAAACTGCTTCTCTGAATGATTAGATAGTGTGGTCCTTGGTTCTGAGGGCAAAACTAAAGAAAATATCATCATGCAAGTGTGTTTTAATGATGTTTGCTCAACTCACAAAAGATTAATCTTTAGAAAAAAGAGAAGGTGGGAAATAATGTATCAGGATTACTTGAAGCAAAATACATGAATAATATTAAAATCCATCAGATTTATATGAAGTAGAGAAAGGAAACCTATGTTTAAGGGACATACTATGCAACACTAATTAACAAGCATTTGTGAACAGTTTCATGAAACATGCAATAAAGCAGATGATGCTTTCTCCAATAAAAGTTTAGTGTAGGATACACTAGCAGTTTGAAATGTACCCATTCCATGAAAGCTGCAGCTCACTGGTAATGTACTATTTTGCCCAGATATTACTTGATTTCAATATGCAGTGTCAAATTTTTGGCAGATCTAACATAAAACTGCATTTGAAGTGATACTTTCAAATGAAAATGCACTTTTAAGGTTTATCTGTAAATTCTCACAGGTAGAGTCTGTACAAAGAATAGTAATTTCTGTCAAAGCTTAACTTTTTGGCATGTACTCATTATTTTCTATGCAACTACTTTTACTTAAGCTGGTCTCATATGTTTCCATAAGAGAAGTGTTTTCATAGCTCATTACATAACAACCTACAGCAGAAAACAGTAATACCCTTGCACGTACCAATGGCATGCAGCACAATATTCCGCAACAAACTTAAAAGTACACCAACCACACTCACAATTTATTTGTAGTTATGAATCTGCATTTAAAGTAACTATTAAGATACAAAAAAAAAATTAATGTTTGGATACTTCAAAAAATTCTCTAGCAGTGATGGAAGTAAACTTTTAGGTACTGGATGTTTCTCAGCTACAGATATTACACATCCATCAGCGCAGACAAAGAGGGTTGGGGCAGGGGGAAAGAAAATTAATTTTGCTATACTATTCCACGGTGCATTTCATAACAAGTAATTAGTGTGAAAATTATCTTTTCAAAAAGCAGCACCTATAATATGCCAGACAACTAGGCAGTTTTCCCTTCAAGTTCACCTTCTATACTAAATAAATGGATGGGGTGTAGAGAATACTGAAGGAAAAATATGCATAGAAAGAAATACCAATTTATCTCATACTTAGCTCAAGCCCAAATGTAACTAGCACTGAATTTGCATCATTTTCAATTACGTCCAGTATAATGACTAAACTATCATTTTTTCGGACAAGACAGTTTTCAAACAGAAAAAAAAATCAAAATATTCTCAATCAGTAAAATAGTAAATCAGAAACTTGTTAAATTGTTAATAAAGTTTTACTGAAGTATGGAAGGTGCTCTTCATACCAGAACATGCCCTCTATAAATGCAAAAGAACCAGTCTCAGAAATTCCAGTTCAATAAGGCATTTGGGGACTGCTCCCAATTCAGAAGGCAAAGCAGCTAGCCAGAACATAGAAATGTACATGCCACTGTTAAGACTTCTTTTCAGAAATTTGTTATTAAGTGATCAGGTAATAAAATTATACAGAATTTCAGTTATGTTGTGCTTAAAACTGCCATCACAGATCTATATTTTTGTGCATATTACTACAAATTAATATTTTTTTTAAAAGTGCATTACTGCAAATCCAACGAGTTAATTATTTGTTATATATATGCCAATTACATTTGTTTCAAACACTAGACATACATACAGTACACATGTGTAAGGACACGCATATATTAAAATCAGTGTAAAGCCACTTTAAGTGTTACTGCATACATTTGTCATATTGTATCCATAAATAAAATTGGAAGAATACTTAAATAGACGAAAAATAAATATAAAATGTTATAAAGGTGAGAAAGCAATAACTTTAATAATCTAGATATATGACATGTTTTTCTGCAAGACTGAGACTTGTAAGAACTTCTGCAAAACAGTTGTTTTTGCTTATAAAAGCCAAATACATAGCAATAAACAAAATTCTATTCGATTTTTTAAAATCATTATAGAAAAAAACCCTCTAATTCCCTTCACCATAAATGGTTCAATTTTTGGATACCTGTGTTCTCTAACAATGTCTTTGGTGTGTTGGGTCTGTTAATTATTTCTACAAGCTGGTGCAACACCATTGGAATATAAGGCTGCATCTCTATACCTGAAACAGTCAAAAAGAAACATTCAGAAGAAAATGACCATTAATATACACAATTTATTTAGATCTGGTACCTTGAACTTACTGTCAAGGATAAGAATGTAAAACTTAATTTAAATTTTTCACATGAAAGCATCACTAAAAATAATAAAAAAAACCCCAACCCAGACAAACCATTCTAAATATGCAAATATTCAAAGAAAAAAAAATCTTACCCATCTGGATGGAGATTTCTCCAATAGCCCAGGTGGCATTGTTACATACAGAAATGAATTCAGGGTTTAGATTTGTTCCCAAAATGGGCATGAAATCAGCTAGAAAGAACAACATTTTAAAATCTCATCACACAATACAACCATCTTGTTCCTTTATTATAAGGTCACGAGGGGAAAGAGGTTTTTTTAAAATCATGTAAACATATTTAAATTCTTGTAAAGCATTACATCTGAATTAATAAGAACTGTATTTTTGCTATTTATCAGATTAACCTGGATGATACAACCTAAGTAGATCAATGCAAATCTTTTGAAACTATGATTTAAAAATATTTCGAATAGATTTTACATTTATGTTACTCTAAAACCCTTTTTTTATCCCCTTCCCAGGAGTAGGGAAAAAAAAGCACACCTGGATAGCTATGTATTTAGCTGTGCTAAAAAAAAAAGAATGACCAACTCCCTCTCCCCCCAAAACAAACACCCCCTTCAACAAAAACAAAAAAACACCAAACACAACACCAATCCCCCCCAAAAAAACCCAACAGCCAATAAAATGAAACCTAGAAAGAAAATCAAAGCCTTGATTAAAATTTATTTGGCAGATGTTATAATCTATCTTTGTGACTAATATTTCACTAAAATTCAAATTCCAAGCCTATCCAAGCATTCATGGATTCTAGTAGAACAAAAAACCCCACAAATTCTAGAATTTACTAAAGAAAGTAACTGTTCTAATTGAAGTATAAGCACATCTGTTTTGCTGTATTCCTGCAAAACAGGAAGCATGTTACACTATAAAAATCAAGCAGCAAAATCAACTTTTGCACTGTATCCAAAAAACAACACATCTTTAACACACAATTCAAAGGAGAAAAGACTACAGACCCTTGCTAATAAAAGAAAATGAAAACTTACAACACCATGACAGGGTAAACCACAAAAAAGGGAACTTAATAATGGTTAAATAAACCTCTTATCAGTTTGTAAAACAAGTTAAGTATTTAATATGTAAAAGAAACATACCGATGCAAGGTTTAACATGCTGAAAACACGCCTTTGTCAGATCACCTAACAATGCAAAAGAACTCTGCCGTACCTCAGGCATTTTATCCTAAAGAGAGGAAGAAAAAAACCTGACAATTCTAGAAGTGTTTCTGATTCTTTTAAGAAAGAAAATTATTGGATTAAACAGGTTTCTCATCTCACCTGCATGCATTGGTACATTAGTGTCAGGATATTGCTGCAAGCCACTAGCTGTTCAATGTTGCCTCCAAGTCCTTCAGCTAAACCACTGAGTAAATCAAGAGCCACAATCATGAAATCTTTATCTGGAGCCTCGTATTGATCGGGCTGAGCATTGTGCAACTGCAACAAATAATTATGCATTTTCAAAATAAGTATTAGATTTTCTCAGGGGTATGCATAAAAGTAAAAACAAAGTTTCAGAACTGCAGCTTCATTTAAATATTTAACAGTTAATACTACTAATCTCCCTGCAAACCCCTAACTTTACATAGTTAATACATTGGTTTAAGGAGATATTCTGAAAACATTGGAATAGCAATAGAAAAATACCATGGTTTGTGCAAGAGTCTTCTGCACCAGATTTACGCAACGCTGGTACACAGGCTCACAGTATGGAAGAAAGCCAGATTGCAAGGCAGTAGCAACTGACGACAGGCACTGGAATAAAATAAAGAAGAAAAAAAAGCAAGAGAGACACTAACTTTCCTCACCTCCCCCAAGTACCTTTTACTTGTGTGAGGTAAATTAAAAGCCTTTTAAGTATACCCACAAGTAAAACCAACCTGGAAAGGTAGTAACGATTAGCTGAGGCAAGGCAACTGTCAGCTAATTGTTACTCTCTCCTACATATGTCAATTGAGAAAACTTCTCAGGAGCAGAATCTTCTTTGAGATGGCCAAGACAGTTCATATGAAGACTACTATAATTCAGCTAGCATTTACACTAAACTTCAGTATCCTGACAATGTATAAGCCCTAACATTATCCAAGAATTATGAAACTAATTTCTCTAGAAGTGTTTTCCTGCTTCACACTTGGAAAGTACAGAGAATAGACTACATTGTCTGGTTCATAACTTCAGCCTGTTGGTGATTGTTTTAATGGAGGGACAAAGAGAGAGAAAGGAGAAAGAGAAGACAAGAACAACAGGGATGGAACAATTTTTTTAAAAAAACAAATAATCCCAAAGAAAACAATCAAGAATGGCAGGAAAAAAATAAATCTTAAAGATTTCTGCTAAACTTAATGACATTTCCTCAGTCACAAAATTTTCTCACTTATTGTTGTAACATTTTCTCCATAATGGGAAATACCTAACACTGACAGCTTTCATAGTCGCACTTCCTAGTAGGAGTATCCTTAGTAAAAGGTGTAATTCCCAAAAGAAGTTGATAAAACACATTCAAATTTTAACATTTACCTCTAATAAAGGGAAGAGATCTTTATCTTCATCCTTCAACATATTCCACTTCTGGATTAATGGAGGCATTAGCATCTGAATATATTCCTGTTTAAGTGGTTACAAACAAAACAAAAAAAAGTCATTAGAAATTAGCACACATATTCCACCAATTTCTTTAAAGTCCCATTTCATATCTCTATTGATATATATATATATCCTTTGAGCTGAAAAGTTATGAGAATGAGGGAAAAAAAGTCACAATAACGAGAAGCACATTTTCTAAGCCACCAAACACACAATTATTTATTCAAAATGAGAAATATTTGTGTAGTGGGAAAATTACATACAGTCTGTGTATTTTACATGTAAATATTTATTATTACTGAACCCAGAATTTATGTTTTATAACATATAAAGCACACTACAAAACCCACCAAACCAGTTTTTCATTATGTGATGAGTGTTTCTACAGACCATAAGGTATACTCACTGGTTTATTTAGATGATGTCCTACAGAATCTGCTAGAGTTCCTATAGCATCATAAAGAATGAGCAGGTTTTTATGCTGGTATTTACTAAATGCGAAGACCAAAGTGTCAAGTATATATGCAAGATAAGGAACAAGCTCTGTACAAGCCTCCTCTTCTAGAGTAGCAAAGGCACTGAATGACAAAAAACCCCCACCATAAATAGAAAAGTCAGTATCTTGGAAAGAACAAAACAAGACCACCCCAAAATGCACCACACTACCCATTCCTGTTTAAACGTAGAACTGTATTTAGTCTTTAAATTCATCCAAGGTATGTTTTCAAAATGGTATTACTGAGAAACCCAATCTATTTTGATTGAACACAAAGATACACTGTGGTGAGCAAAATTTAAAAATATTCCGTTAAAAACCATTTATGTATATATGCTACAGATCTAATCCCGCTTTATGAAGAAACTTTCTTGGCAGTCTACTGTGTACACTCTTGCCCCACACAAACTGACATGTAAAAGCTTTATTTGCTGAGCTTCCTGCACAAGAGGTGTACCCATTCCATTAATGGTGTGTCCATTTTTTTAAATATCAGCAGACAAGGAAGAGAAGGGAATCTTACCTCCAAGGATTTCCTTTCAGGAGAAAGGGAATATCCCTTGAAATAATTGTAATGCAAATGTTTTGGTAATCCTGAGCTAAACATAAACATTGCTAATGCAATGATAGTATAGTTTTCCAGTATTGACCTCATTCATAGGCCTATAAAAGCAATATTTCTGGTCAGTGAAACCTCAAATATTGAAAAAAACCAGGTGCCACATGCAGATAATTTCTTTTACTGCAATAGATTGTTTAGTTTGATTATTCATATATTCTAAAAACAAACTGGAAAAGAGAAAGACAAATTATCTGTTTTGATTTTACTACAACTTGGAGTTATTTGTGATGACTTCAGAAGAAGTTGAACCTACTCCAATTTAAAAGGAAAAAAATAAAATACATTAAGAGCTAGAAATGAAGTTATACTTTCATCAATAATGAATTAAAATATTTTCCCATGAAAAAGCAGTATCATGGATAGTACTTTTTGTTTAAGCTTTGACTCACCTGCAGGCAGCTTCTTGTACTCTCTTGTTGCTATCCAGAATGCGCTTTAGCAACTCAGTCATTAATGGCTTCAAGTATGTGTCTGGGGGTTGACTAACTACCCAGTGTGCATAGCGACTAAGAGTCCAGCAAGTAATGGAGCGCACAAGAGCCTTTTTATTAGAAAGGCACTGAATAAGGTGAGGGATCAGCTCAGGAAGATATGGAATCATACCCTGCATGCAGCCTAGAAAGAAAAATATAGCTATTACAGTAGGAAAATTAGAAAACATAATAGAACTTTTTGTTATTTCCTAGAAGGGACATATTTTCATCCTCTATTATGTAGTAATACATTTTACCAATATACAAAGCAAGTCTACCTAATTTATGTTGTCCTAAAAAGAAACCACACCATAAACAGTAATTAAAATCCCCAATGAAATTTACATTCATTCCAACTACATTTCTACTTCAGTGCTTCCCCAATCCCCATAAATTCTGCTTTATTAAATGGAGTATAGTAAGAACATCCAAATAAAATTAGTTCATAAAACTCGGAAGTCTTATGCCAGCCTACTCAGAGTGACCAAGACAACAAGTAGAGAAAGATTAGACCTTGATAACAAATCATCATATCATTAAAAAAGATTCCTTAAGAAATTTAATTTTCTTCTTGTTTTCTCCTAATATCACACCAATACTGACGCAAATAAAAGCTACACACTTCAAGTCATCAAGGGCAGTAATACACTGAGATTTGCCAGAAGTACTAGCTTTTACCTTGCTTGACTTGAAATCAAAACCAATAAAAATACTTTCTAGCAACAAAGAAAATATATGTTCACTAGGCACTGTACGAAAAGATAGATAATCCAGGCATGGACCCAAACATATTCCTTCAGTTTGCAAAATGGACAGACATGATGAAAATGCAGGCAAAAAGTCAAGACTGTAAGTAAATACAAAGAAATAGAAGTTATCACATTTAAATCAGAGAACCATCCACAAAAAGCAGTTCAGGGCACTGAAGTCACAGGTCTGGTCTTCTCCATTTCTGAAAACACTGAATGAAATGTAAATATTCCTGTTGTATCAAATCAAGGTAGTACTTCATGAGAGACCAATAAATATATGTTACAGTTAAGAAAGAGAGAAATAAAAGAAATTATCTAAGTTATTTAAGCCTTTGAAAAATGCAGATTTGAAAATTAAACAAGTAACTGCAGTCATCAACTAGTAGATGTAGAGATTAATCACTAAAAACAAATCAGTTAAGGATGTATACTTGCTTACACAAGTAAATTCACCCTGAAAGGATGACAGAGCTGCTTTAGAACCAATCAAAAATTCAGCAACCTGATATGCACTATTGCCTTACCTTCAGCAATTGCTCCAAGAACAAGGATACCAGATTCTTTAACTACCCATTCGGGATGGAAAAGCAATTCCTTCAAAAGGGGCAAGATGTGTGGCAGAAGTTCATCACGAAATACATTAGCTAGGACATCTAGAGCAGCAGCAGAACATTTCCCTGAAGGGAATTAACAGTGTTAATCTGCTTATTATATTATTATTATACAAGCAGTTGTAGTTAGACAGTATGATCCTCATTTTAACTTTGAGCTGGCAGGGCATCAGGAGGAAAGATACTTTTATTTCATTAATATACACAGGGATCCGTTGTGCTCTGGTACAAAGCCACAGCTCTTAGAAAGCCATTTTTGCAGCATTTTTATAGCTACTAATAGGACTTATACACTAGGGATATTAAAATACTCACTGACAGGAAACACACCATGTAAAAATCCTAAACTGGATCTAAACTACTAGTGGGCCCAAACAAGACACATAATTTTTCAGTTGGAAGAAAGTAACTACTAGAATAGATAACAAAAAGAAAATTTTTTTCTACTCTGCTTCTAGATGATGTCCAACAAGCTTGAATAAAACCAAACATGAGCCCTCAACTCAGAGCAGATCTTCACTGAAAAACAATAACAAACAGCACAGACTACCAGAGACTAGCACCTTAGAAAAAGGTTCTTCACCCAGAGGGTGGTTGGGTACTGGAACAGGCTCCCAAGGAAAGTGGTTACAGCACCAAGCCTGACAGAGTTCAGAAGCATTTGGATGATACTCTCAGGTACGTGGTGTTACTCTTGGGGATGGTCCTATGAAGGGTTAAGAGTTGGACTTGATGATCCTTGTGGGTCCCTTCCAACTCTGCATATTCTGTGATTCTATGATTCTGTTTCAGTTTTCTACTAGAAGAAAAAAAGGTGGGCTTCCATATTTAGTTACCAGGTCTCATTAGTAACCAATGCTGCTGTCAGGCTGTGCTGATGTTTCTTCTTTGTTCAAATTGGAAATCAAATATAGAACACTGGATAATAAACAGGGCACGTAATTCTGAAATTCAGATAATCTGAATTCTCTCAAGTCCGGATGACATACATGAAAACAGATTTCTTAACTATTCTGTTCTCTCTCTTTCCAAGTCAGCTTTAGTTTCCTCATCTTCTTAACCAAAACTGTGGATCACAGAGCACTCTCTGCCATTTCAGTTATGTTTTCTAGAAAATATTGATTTAATTCTGGGATTTCTACACACAACGACTACAAGAACAGCATTATGAATTTAAAACTATAAAAAGATACTTTACAAAGGAAACATATTTGTGCTTTTTGTCTTCTAAAATAATAATTACAATAATAATAACATTAAAAGTTTAGATATGTCTCAAAGTTGTTTGATCCATAAGCTTCAAGGTACATTCATCTGTACTACATCTGAACTACTGGTAATGGCTGCCAGTAGTAGCACGTTCAAATGGAGAGAAAAAAAATCCACACACAAACCGGATTTAGAGGGAAGACTGAAGTAAAAGAAAGTATTATTAAGCTAAGAACAATGTGCAAGATTGTATTGGGTCTGGCTGAGATGGAGTTTGTTTCCCCATAAGAGCACTCACAGTGCTGTGCTTTGCATTGGTAGTTAGAAGTATGTTGATAACACACCAGTGTTTTGGCTACTGCTGAGCAGTGCTGGCACAGCATCAGCGCTGTCTCTCCAACATTCCCCCCATCAGTAGGCTGGGGGTGGGCAAGATCCTGGGAGGGGACACAAGTAGGCCAGCTGACTCAAACTGAACAAAGGGATATTCCATACTATATGACGTCAGCTCAGATATAAAAGCTAAGGAAAGGAGGAGGAAGGGAGGACATTCATTATTTGCAGTGTTTGCCTTCTGGAGCAACTGTTATGCATGCTGAAGCCCTGCTTCCTGGGAAGTAGATGAACATCGCTTGCTGATGGGAAATAGAGAATAAACCTATTTTGTTTTCCTCTTTGTGTCCAGCCAAGGTCAACCCACCACAAAGACTTTTTTAAAAAACAGTGATACATGTTTTCTATTATCTTGTAGAATTAAAATTCAAAATCCAAAGCTTCTGTTGAATTGCATCCAGTAGATGTTTTCAGCTCTGTTGACCATATTCAAAATAAGTTTCAAGGTGGTTAGATTTTTCAATAGTTATATAGCCAAAACATCACCTGAAAGACTCCCCCTCTGCCCCAATCACCAATTATATCAGCAGATAGTTCTTTTTCTATTCAAAAGCAAAGTCTCAGTATTTCTATACTCAAACTCCTCTTTTTACTGTTTCTTGTATTATGCAAGTAGCTATATTTTAAAGCATTTTACACATTACTTTGACATACTTAAATTCCAGTCAGAAAGAGTATCATCATCATCAAGATCATTGTCATCATCATCATCATCATCTTCAATACGATCTTCTTCATGTTGCTGAGCTACTGTCCGTGAACGATGAAAACGAGGTCTTATGTCCTGTTCACTATCTGGAATAGCTTCATCTTCTTCAACATCTCCCTGTCAAAAAATGTTTTAGCAGATAAACTAGTGCAACTATATTGCTCAAGGAACTAAGAATGTAGTGTCAATTTTAGTTCAATATATTTATAAATGTGAAAGATTCACATCCCACTTGTGCTGCCCTGCTAACTAAAAATGCCAATGTTCCTGCATTCTGCTACAGTATTTACCAGAAAAAAATCAGGAAAATAGAAGCAACAGAGGTAATCTCACAGAAAAGCACAAAGTACACTTCTTGTAAAGAAATTACTCTTGATGGGAAGGAATTAGAAGGAAGAAGAGATAGAGAAATTCAAGTATACAGACACATTCTAAAATGTTGTGATGGAAAAAGCTGTGTAGTTCAAGATAGAAGGGCATTAAAATTAATTCTGATAATTTCTTTTCAGGTTGCTTTTCTGCAGTAATTCATGGGTAAAAGTATCCCAGCTCTGCCAAAGCTGGGTGGAAGGGGAGAGGGGCAAAGCAGGAAAGCCCACAGATTATTTTCCAACAAACATGGCAGCAGTTGCATTTTGTTTTTGGAACAGCATACCTTGCCCCAAAAAGCTCCATTGAACAGATGGCAGACCAGATCTAGCCTACCAGCTCAACCATTCTGATTTACAAGTCAGAAGTTAACCAGATATTCTTACTGAGTAGAAAAGAAAGGAATGCTTACCTTTAACAGAATAATATCAATCTCTGAATATTTCATACCATTTACCAGCACAGGTATCAGTCTACAAAGAAATATTGATACACGTCAAGAAGGAAGACCCTGGTAACTACAGACCTGTCAGTCTCACTTCAGCACCTGGTAAAATTATGGGGAAAGTTATTCTGGGACTTATTGAAAAACATTTGAGAGACAACGCAGTCACTGGTCACAGCCATGGGTTCACGAGGGGAAAGTCGTGTTTAACCAATTTAATTTCCTTTTACAACAAGGTCACCCATCTAACTGACCAAGGGACACCAGTAGATGTGAGGGTTTTTTGATTTTTAGCAAAGCCATCAATACTGTCTCTCACAGTATCATACTGCACAAAATGTCCAGTACACAAGTCCATAATACATTGGGTGAACAATTGGCTAATGGGTCAGGTTTAAAGAGTTGTAGTAAATGGGGTCACATCAGGCTGGCAACTGGTCACCAGTGGGATTCCCCAGGGCTCAATTCTAGGGTCAGAGCTCTTTAATGTTTTTATAAATGATCTGGAAGTAGGAATCAAATATATGGTAAGTTTGCCAATGATTAGACTAAACTAGGAGCTGTGGACTCCCTGGAGGCAGAGAGGCACTGCAGAGAAACCTTAACAAATGAGAGGGTTGGGCAATCACCAACTGTATGGAGTTTAACAAAGACAAGTGCCAGATTCTGCACCTGGGACAGGGCAACCCTGGATGTATGGACAGACTGGGGAATGAGAGGCTAGAGACCAGTGCCGCGGAAAGGGACCTGAGGGTCCTGGTTGATGGCATAGTCATATGATTTAGTGTTAGTTCTGCGAGGAGCAGGGAGTTGGACTTGATGATCCTTATGGGTCCCTTCCAACTCAAGAGATTCTATGATTCTATGTCAAAATAACACATAAATAAAGCAAGCTGGTTTTCAGTTACCCAGTCCATAATTTTGGCTGTAACCATACTCTCCCCAACAACAAACAAACAAACAAACAACCCCAGACAAAAACTTAGCCTGATAACAAGTTAGTACCTTAACCACACTCCATTTCATGAGGTTCATTAATACTTTGTCATCTGAAAAAGTGTTAATTTCTAACTAGAGGTAGCCAGATGGCACAACTGTGTTTTACATTTTAAAAACAGGATATTCTTCCATATGATTAAATCTATTTTGAAGCACCTTTTAGAAATTAAGTCAAATTCTTTTCAGTAAGAATTCACACTTCCAAAATATGCTTGATAAACAAGTTATTAAGTTGGTTCTTGTATACTATTCGTCACTTTACTAACCTGTGGCTGAAGACTCTACCTCACTACTCTTAAGGATGGAAGTCTACCTACATTGAGCTCTCCTATCCTTTTGTGATAACTTCAAGTATCACCCCTTAAGACAAGTCCTTGACATTGCAGAGATCTTGACATTAGTCAAGTCATTAGTCTATATTAGAACTTTACTTAGTTATTAAACTGGTTATGACCATGGGTCTCCAATGGTATTGATGTATGGCAAAAAAAAAAAAGTACCAGGGGAAGAAAGTCAAGTATTTTACATATAAACACATTAGCTACAAAAGTAAATCCATTACAAAAATATATGTATTAGAAGCCAAATCAAGCTAATACTGAAATTACCATGGACTGACCGAGCACCAGCGACAGACTTAATCTCTCTATATTCTACAGCTGAGGAGTATTGTTTCTGAAGGTATTCAGGCCAGCAATAATCCCTCTGAGTGAGACACCTCTCAGAGCTCTCAAACCCTCCAGTTTGTGATACTTGAAGGACCATCACTGACAACAAGGCCTAGGTTGATATCCCCCCCACTATCTCCATGCTCCTCCAGGTGCAACCCTTGCCTGTTGGGAAATGCAAAGGGATTTGACGTATTTCACTGAACCTGAGGGGAATTGTTGATAGGTACATTTACACACATAGAAATAGATGTACACATGGTTTTACCTGTGTGCATGTGAATTGATTATGGTATGAATGCTGTTATTGTGAATTTATAATTAAGTCATGTTATAACTGTAATAAATCCTACTGAACTAATTTTTAAATGCTAAATTACTCAATGATTAAGTGCTGCTAAGCCCTTCTGCACCCTTATCTTTTGTATCCATATCCTTTGCACCCTTACCTCCTTTTGCATTCCCAGTCTTCATGTAAATCATTCTAACTTGATTCTAATCTGATTTTCCTATGTATGCTTTGTCTATGTAGTAAGTAACAGAGTGAACCTTGCCATCGAACTCTGTTAAAGTCACACTTTTACAAATACATATTAAAACCTGCTTTTTGCCAATACCTTTGATGGTGACTTTCAGCAGCTGAAATTACTCGTTCACAACAATTACCTTCTGAACTTTCAATAAAAGAATAGTGAGTATTTGGATTAACACCTATTACTTGGCATTTCCGCAGCATACTTCATGAAGTATGAAGGAGCTATATATTTTATAAAAAAGCCTAAAGGATCAAAATGGAACAAGATACTAAACAAACAGGTTTTCAGATCTTGTCCCACTTAATCTAATATAAAAGAATTATCATCAAGTACTGGCAAATTTATATAGCTCCCTAGTCAAAAAGGACTCACCAACAAACAAGTTGCTTTCAACAAATATGACATTGAAAGATAAGAGATATGTAATGTTACTCTTATCTGTTTTACTATAAATATAAAAACTCCTTAAAAAACCCACAAAAACTGAGGATGAAGCTGTTGCAATGTCAATGGTCATGATGATGCCTAAAATGGAAGAAAAAACTCTCCAAACAATATTAGTATAGATAAAGTAGAGAGCAATTCTTTAATGAAAGAGACCAGAAGAGGTTTACAATTTATACTGAGAAGGTGACTAGTATTAATATGTGTTGGGAGGGAGGGAGGCAGAATCAAGAACTGTGTTATTATTTTTTTTTTATTTTGAGTTATAAGAGTACAATTTATTAAAAACATTTTAAAACTTCAAAGTAATTTCTCATAACACTGGTTCTTCTGTTTTCAAATCCTATTCCTGTACTGCTACAGCAGATGTTTTAATCTCAATTCTCTGTTTTCTAAATGCTTATGAAAACTGAAATTTGGAAACCCCTTTTTTCTTTTAATTACTTTACATCTAAAATGGTCATTTTTGCTGCAAATAATGTGTCTCATCTCTCAAGATTTTAACTGGAAGAGCAGAATCACAGACAGAACTGCTCTAGTATTTTCTAAAACCTTCCATGCATATGTCAAAAATAGGGTCTCCATTTATTGGGAACACTGAAGAATTTGTTTCCTATTGCAAAAGTCTTTAGATTAGTCTGGAAATAAGTTATTAGCACTGTTGCAGACATGTAGGTGTTTAAATCTCAAATATGGATATTCAATTCCTGTTCAATCAAGGATCTACATTTTAAGGTTTAGGAAAACTTTTTGAAACTTAGAAAAAAGTTTTTGAAGCTTAAAAAACTACTGTCAGTCTGAAGAAGCATGAAGAAAAACATTATACATGCTTTCAAGTTTAAATTGCCATGGCAATTGATATGAAATTGATTCCAAAATCTAAATGAGCATGTCATTTTGTTACGTTCTTCATAAAGATGGGGAACCCCTGGCATGACTATGCACATAGAAGCATTGCACGGAAATGCTACTTGTCAAGATAACGTGTTCATGGTACACCAGATATTACAGGTAATGTCACATGAAGATATTTGTTTAAGCTTAAGCGCATGATAGTATACCTTTATATCAATCTGATACTTAACAGGTTGTTAAGGTTGAGGTAGAGCACCAGTGATACAGTTTAGGTTGCTTCTGGAGCCAAGTCTGAAATCCTCAGAAGTCTTTTCAGTGACCTCTGTGCTACAGCCATTTTTAATATGCACAAGAACTAGCTACAAGAAACTCCTCCTAAGCATACAGCAAGCTAGATACGATCTTTATAAGAGTAACCAGAAAAAAGTCAACTGAAGTTTAAAGATGACTACTGCAAAATAACTAGTTCTAATTCTTAATACTTACTTAGTAAGATGTCGACATAATACATCTTTACAAATTGGCTGTTCAGCCAAAGTCAGCCAAAACTCACAAGCCTCCAAAGCAACATTTTCATCTTGGTCCTGGGTCCTTTGAAGCATATACTACACAAAAAAAAAGCCAATCTTGTATAAGTTTTAATTGAAGAAGCTATCAACATTGCAAAGCATGTTTGCAAAAACAGACTAGGCTCCCAGAGTAATTTTGTTTCTTTGGGGCAAGGGGGAGAAACAGATATAAGAGACTACTTAAGGCTATGGTGAGAATAAGCCAAGAGACATTTCTCAATGCTAGATGATTCGGATTCTAAGATTTTCACTGTTTAAGTGAGAACATTATTACCAAGAAACTATAGACAGAGACCCATGATAGTAAACAGTTTTCTGAGAATAGTTGTTTTTTTCTTCAATTATTATTTTAACACTCCCCCCCTTTCTCTTTTTGCATAAAACTTACTTTTGAATAAAACACTTAGTAAGATGGAAATACTTTTTATATCCAGTACCATAAAAAAGCTTCCCTTTAAAATCTTGATTACCTGACTGGATGCAATTAAGTAGAACCCATAACAGGGGAAAAAAAGTCTCACTTTTTTCTAGCATGAATGGTAATTCAGAGATTCAGTATCAAATCTTTAGGTTTGTTGTAAAAATTTAATCCCCCTTAAACAAAAAAAAATCAAATACCTGCATAAACAGAAAGGTTAAGTATACCACAGATACATCAGTTTTTTGTACATGACTGCCAAAGCAATTTAGGGAAGATGCTTGCAACTTCCCAAAAAGTAATTTCTGCATTCTTCCATGCCAGCTCTTATTTCTGAAACAGTTGGTTCTTCCACTCATTTTAGAAACCTCATGAAAGTCCATGCAACTACCTTTCCTCACACATTCATTTAAAACAAGTAAAAGAAATCCTCCTTCAGAATTACCATTTTGTTCTCAAAATTAAATAGGATGGGACAACCTATATTATCCTTATGCATTTCAGGGATCCAAGATTTGCAACAAACATATTCCTTCCTACAGAACTGTATTCCTACAGGGTTGCATCAAAAGAAGCATGGTCAGCAGGTTGAGGGAGGTGATTCTCCCCCACCACTCCACTCTGGTGAGACCCCACCTGGAGTATTGCATCCAACTCTGGGGACCCCAACACAAGAAAGACATGGGCCTGTTGGAGCAAGTCCAGCAGAGGCCACGAAGATGTTCAGAGAGCTGGAGCGACTCTCTTATGTGGAAAGGTTGAGAGAGTTGGGGTTGTTCAGCCTGGAGAAGAGAAGGATTCGAGGAGACCTTCTAGTACCTTTCAGTACCTAAAGGGGCTCCAAGAGAGCTGGGGAGGGACATTTTACAAGGGCATGGAGTGACAGGACAAGGGGGAATGGCTTCAAACTGAGAGAGGGCAGGGTTACATTAGATATTAGGCAGAAATTCTTCACTGTGAGGGTGGTGTGACAACGGTGTGCTGGTTTAAAAGTTAACCAGCAGGGGAAATGAGCTCAAAAGAGAGATTGCAAAGTCAGAATAACAATTTAATAAAATAATACAATAAACACGACTACACAGACAAGCAATTGGTCTTAACCCACAAAACCCAAATGTACAACCTGGCACCCCGGGGCACAAAC